TCTGCCTGGGAGTAGGCAGCTGTAAGACAATGTTTACTAAAAACATGTTTACTAAAAACAATACAATGCCCGGGGGCAATAAGTTCCTGGAAAAGGCCTGCCCACAGAAACCACCCTGACCTTGTCCAAAGACTAACCGCCTCTTCTGCCACACCCAGATCAGTTTTTGGGGTCAGGGCAGAACCAGCCAGGGTAGAGGAGAGAGCAGAAGCTTTTCTGGAGGGAGCCTTTCTTAGGAAGTTTTCTTGAACCTTTTTGGGGCCTGCTTAAAGTTTTCTTTACATCGTTGAACAAGTCTCTGTGTTGTCAATCCCCGACACCCTCCACACGTTCTCGGACACAGGCTGCGCGGCAGACGCGACAATTGTCGTGGCAGCATGCAGACACTCATGGTGCTGGAGAAGCAGCTGAGAGCTCTACATCTGGATCCACAGGCAGCAGGAAGAGAGAGTGACACTGGGCCTGGCTTGACATCTGAAACCTCAAAGCCCACCCCTCCTGACACACTTCCTCCAACCAGGCCACACTTATCCTAACAAGGCCACACCTCCTGATCGTACCACTCCCTATGGGCCTATAGGGCCCATTTTCATTCAGACCACCATGATGTGACCAGATGCTTCAAGCTGCCACCTTGACTTCACTGAGTTGAACTGTGAGCCAAAATAAGCCTCTTTTTCCTTGCTTTTCTCGGGGTATTTTATTACAACAACGAAACCTAGCAGAGCCACCCTGCAGCAGGATCTGTAAGGATACCCCCAAGGGATTCTAATATGCAACTCCAGTTAAGAACACCTCACTCAAGTCAAAACACCTTAAAGGGGAGAACAGGGCTAGAGGATCACATGTTCCGATTTTCAAAACTGCTACAAAGCCATGGAAATCAAAACAGCCAGTTATAGGTGTAGAGACAGATGTATAGGCGGGCAGATTAGAACTGACAGTCTGCCCAGAAATAAACCCTCACATATACGGCCAAATAACTTGACAAAGATACCAAGACCATTCAGCAGGGAAAGAACTGATGGCCCAATAAACAAGCCTGGGAAAACTGGATATCCATGTGCAAATGAATGGGGTTCTTGCCTAAAACCATACTCAAAACTAAGTCAAAATAGACCAAAGCCTAAATGTAAGACCTGAGATACTAAAGTCCTAGAGGAAACACAGCAAGAAGGACTTAGAACACATACTCTGAAGCCTTCCTGGGTGTGGCAACAAAGGTACAGGCAATAGAAAATGAGAGACAATCAGGGCATGGGGATATAGGTTAGTAGTAACCCTCCTGCCCGGGAGGCATAAGGCCTAGAAGCAGACTATCAAGGAATTCTAAAACACAGCAAACACCTGGCTGGCTTTAAAAACAGGCAGAGGGTTCTCCAGAGTTCTCCACAAGATTTGCTAATGGCCAATAAGTCTGTGAAAAGATGCCCAATATCACTAGTGATTAGGAGGAACAAAACTCACAATTCTACGGTAGGTACCATCTCATACCCATTAGGATGGCTACTACCAAAACACAGATTGTTTTGGTGACTATATGGGAAACTGTAAACCCTTATGCACTCTTGGTGGGGACATAAAATGGTTCCACCACTGTGGAAAACAGTATGGTGGTTCCTCAAAAAATTAAAAGTAGGATTACTTTGTGATTCTCAGTTCTATTGGGATTCCCCGAAGAACTGAAAGTTGAGTCCCAAAGAGAGATATTTATACATTTATGTTCACAGCAGCATTGTTCACAAAAGCTAAACCATGAGAGCAATCCACATGTCCACTGACAGATGACTGGGCAAGCTAGGCATAGCGCTCTAGCAGGCCCATGTGCACACACACACTGCCGCAGGCAAGTGACATCTAGCCTGTTAGAGATGAAGCAGGAGACAGGGCTGGTCACTCAGGCAGCCTGTGGTCCTTAGCCTCAATGCTCACCATGCCTGTCACATAGCCACCAGAGTGGAAGGAGTTATGCACGCCTGTGGGTCCAGAGAGCAGTGACAGGCCAGGGATGGGAAAGAAAGGGGCCAGGCTGTCCACTTTGGTGCTGTGACTTTTGACATCTTCCGCTTAATGAAGAGGAAATCTCACATGGACACAGCATGAGGCATTTGCAGTCAAGAAGACATATTCTCTTTGGCTGGAGCCGAAGTCACAGAGAGGCTGGAGGGGGCGGCATGGGGCTGGGAAGGAGAGAGCTGCTCAGGCCTCAACCTCACAGAGATCTGCTTGCCTAACCAGGGCAGGGACCTAGGGAAGCTAATGGAGGAGTGGAAGCAGGATTACCTACTTAAAACCCTAAAGGAAGACCCCGCAGGGATTTAAGATGGGTGGGGACCAGTATAGGAAGGTCTGTAGTCCCTTAGATTTGTAGTGCTCTGTGGAGAGCCTGCTAAATCAGTCTTCTCAGACATTTGATGAGCTAAGTATCAATGTCCCTCTCTCCCTTCCTCCCTTTCTCCCTCCCTCCCCCTCCCCCCATCCCTCCTTCCCTCCCTCTCTCTCTCTCTCTCTTCCCCTCTCTCCCCCTGCCCCCCCCCCGCATACAGGGTTTCTCTGTATAACAGTCCTGGTCATCCTGGAACCCACTCTGCAGACCAGGCTAGCTTTGAACGCACTGAGATCCTCCTGCCTCTGCCTCCCAAGAGCTGGGATTAAAGGTGTTTGCCACCACTACCTGGTACAATGTCCCAATTTCATAGCCAAGTTCAATGTCTATTTTTTTCCCCTCCAAGACAGAGTTTCACTGTGTAGCCCTGGCTGTTCTGAAACGCACTCTGTAGACCAGGTTAGCCTTGAACCTTATAAGATAACTGCCTGCCTACGCCTTCCGCCTGTTTTTGTTGGTTTATTGTTTTTCAAGTTCAGTGTCAAACCAGATCTATCCCTTTTCTTTCCTCATCTTGGACTTGTCATGCAGGACTTTGGCCCATTTAGAGAATAAAACTTGGGACTCCTGAGTGGTGGTAGCTCACACCTTTGATTCCAGCACCTGTCCAAACCTGTCTTGAAAAACAACAATAACAAAAGTCTTTCTGCCCTGTCACTATGTTCTGATCAAATCAGGCAAGGACTCTGACATTCCACATCCCCGGGATGGTTTCGCAGGTGGGAGGGGGGTTTCTTCCCCAAAGGTGAGGACAGAAAAAGTACATGTTAGAGGCTTCTAAATCCTGGGGGGGGGTGCTTTTTCACTCTTTAAATATAACAAAGCAGAAGCATTTTTAGTATTGTTAATTTTTAGAGTATTTGCCAAACTCTGGGTCATTCTTCCTCTTTGAGCCCTACTGTCCTTTACAGGACCTATCTGGTGACCCTCCTGGGCCAGGGAAAGGACTTTCTGGTGTGCACGGCTCACTGTCCTGCTGTCTGACAGCTGTGCCCCCTCCCACGCCCTCTCTCCCCATTCACTTTCTCGGAGCCAGATTTCCTCTGCTCCTCCACAAATGTTTATCTCTGGCCTTTGCCCAAATGGAGGTTCTCGACCCTGCCCAGCTTCCCCTTTCCTGCCTGCTCATCTCAGCCTCCTGGGTCCCTGGGGTGCTGGTCAGGTTTCCTGTCTCCGTGTCTTGGGGCTTGACTCCCCTGCCTTCGCCCCCCACAGAACACATGTGGCAGGTCATAGTCCTCTTCCGGGCACTGGTGGTGGCCTGGCATCTTCGAATTAGAGCTGTCACCTGCATGAGGACATTCTTGGAGCCTTGGACCTCAGAGATCTGCCAGAGCTTCTTGGCATAGCTCCTAGACTTCATCTCTGGCCTGGTTTCCCTTACTACCCAGCCAGAGATTCAATCCCGTGATCCTTCATCTCTGTTCCAAGCCCCTCAACCCTAGCACATACAAGATATTCAACATTTCCATTGACTTAGAATCAGAAACATAGTCATGGGCACTTAATGAGGACATACACACTCACTGATTTTGCTATTGTATGCAAACATAAACACAGATGTCATGTTATATGATATATATATATATGCATATATATGGATCACCTATGAAATTGGTACAGCTTATGCTTCTAGAGCCATGATGAACAAAACACAAGATTAAACCAAGTACAAGAAAGTGATGCACTCTAGAGTGAACACGAGATGCCTGAGTTGCTGTGGGTGTGACATGGTCTACTGGGTGTGTGCGTGTGCGAGCGCGCGCGCGATACTTGTGCATGCGTGTACACCAGCGTGTACCGACACACAGGCCCATGCCTGCGTGTGACGCCATAGGCTAACTTTGAGTGTCCTCCTTCATCATTCTCCATAGTATTTTTGAGACAGTGTTTCTGAGTCTGGTGGCGGCCACTTCGGCTAGACTGACTGGCCAGGGAACCCTGGGCTCTTCCTGTCCCTACCTCTTGCCCCTCTGCCCCAACACTAGGGTTATATGCATACTGTCATGCTCAGCTTCTATGTGGCTTCTTAGCATTTTAACCTACTGAGTCATCTCCCTTTCCCATAATACACTGTTTTACTGTGGACTTGCTTTTTTCTTTTGTAAGAAAACAGCACACACTCTAATGACAAATGAGCCAGGCCGAGGCTTGGTGTTAAAACACATGTTTATCATGCACAAGGTCCTGGGTGTGACTCCCAATACATACACACACACACATACACACACACACACAGATTAAACATGTAAAGTGTAAATGAGCCAGGCTGAGGCTTGGTGGTAAAACACTTGTTTATCATACACAAGGCCCTGGGTGTGACTCCCAGTACACACACACACACACACACACACACACAAACACATTAAACATGTAAAAAGTGACACATGGCAAGAAAGGGGCAAAGCCATAGTGCAATGATTAAACCACTAATACAGCCACCTAGTATCAAGCATTTTGCTCTGTACAATAGCTATGGCCAAAATTCCTTCCTGAGGAAGACAGTGTTAGCCAGGTGGTGGTGGTGCACGCATACATGCATGCATGCATGCATACATAAGGAAGACACAGTGCCCACCCTGCTGAGGCCCCAATGACAAACTAAGGTGGAATCTAAAGTTCACACTGGGAAACCAGTGAGTTTATTAGACTTGCTTACAGAGTAAAGGGTGAGGGCTTACGGTGGCCTTAGGACAGCGCTCTGGAAGGTCTGTAGCCGGCGTGGATAGCTCCTGCATGGCTGCACAGATGACTCCCTCCCTAGTCTGGCGTGGATGACAGTTCCTGTTGGGTGAGCAGATGATGACTTCCTTCCCAGCTACGTACCCGAAGCTCCTCACTGAGGCCGTGTGCAGCCAGGGCAGGCTTGCAGATAATTGGTTGGATGGCATGGCTAGACACTCGGGTGACCCATGACTCCTCCTAAAGGAACATCAACAGTCGACAAGCAGAGGCGAAGATGGTGACAGCTTGTCCAGGGGAACAGTGTCATGCTTGCATGCACCAGGCAGGCTGATGGCTTCGTTCATGCTGATGTTGCCACAAACTCGTGCTACCCTATACTACAATGCCATTAGGCAGGCAACAGAGGGTTTTCTGCTCCTTTGTATTGTTCAGAGACCACTGTCATATATGCATGGGTCTCTGACCAGGATGTCATCTGTTGTGTGATGCTATACATGGTTGAGTCGAACTGTTCTTCTCAGGAAGTTGGAAGAGAGAAAAGTGCCATCTTTTGGGAGCCCGTCAAGTCTACCTGTGGCTTGATGCAACCGACCCACAGAAGCCTTCAAGGGGATGTGGAGATCTTCCGACATTAGCGTGGTGGCACATAGCCTGGCCACATCCGCCATGCACGCTGCTTCAAGGCACAGCCTGGGCCAGTCTCTGGGACAGCCATCTGTCCTCTTGGATAAGCAGAGCAACTGGTTGCTCAGACTAGGATCCTACAGGATGGTCACCCAGGCAACTGATCCAGGGTCCACCCCTCAAAAAAAGAAATGGGCAAGATCACAAGGGGCAAGATCTTTCTAGATATAAGAACTTGCTAAAGCTCAAAGTAGCTTGGCACCAATATTGCTTTATTTTAGAAGCCAATCGTGTTATTGAAGAAGAGGTTGTGTTCTCTACCCATTTTGGCGATGGTTGGGGACTGCTTAGGGAACTGTCTTGAAGCCGTGTATGCTCCTGGACCTGGTGTTTTCTGAAACAGACAAAAACAAAAACACAAAAAAGGGCCTGGTGAGATACAGCCTAAGCTCCAGGTCCAGCTGCTGGACGAAGTGTGGCCGACCTGTCCCCTGCAGAGAGAGAGAGAGAGAGAGAGAGAGGGGTATGTCTGGGGAAGCGAGGGGGTTCCTGTTGGAATCGCTGGGAGGCTGGGAGGTGCCAGGTAAAGGGCAGGAAAGCCAGTGACCGCTGACACCTGCTGGGGGAGAGGGCAGAGTCCCTCTCTCCAGAAACCTCGAAGTGTGATTTCTCCCAACAACACTGGCCCAGGAAGTTCCTGTCATCACAGAGGATGCCATCTTCATCCTGACCACTGTCCTGGGCTAGCAGCAAGTGACTGGAGAGACTGGATTCTGCAACTACATGTCTTAAGTCAAAAGACTAAACTGCTTCCCATGTTGCCATCACTGGCAGTATGGTAGAGTGAGGTGTATCTTAGCCCTGGGCTCTCATAACTAGCTTGTTTTAGTTGTGTGTGTGTGTGTGTGTGTATGTGGTGTGTGTGTGTGTGTGTGTTGTTGTTGTTGTTGTGGGGGGGGCATCCACCCATGCACCTGGTTGTTAGACTCCCGACACGAGTTCCCTGCAAGGGACAGCAAGGACTCTTACCCTGAGCAGTCTCTCCAACCCGAGTGGTCACTTTTAGACATCATGTGTTGCTTTGCCAAAATTATTAATTTTTTTGGTTGTTTGAAATGGTTTCTCTGTGTTGCCCTAGCTGTCCTGGAACTCACTCAGTAGACCAGGCTGGCCTCGAACTCACAGAGATCTGCCTGCCTCTACCTCCCGAGTGCTACGATTAATGGGGTGCGCCACACCACTGCCTGGCTGTTGAAATTCTTGAACAAAACATTTTGCCAACTATTTAGTCAAAGCCTTTAAAGCAGAACTGAATGAATGGAGACAAGTTTCCTCAGGAGACAAGTTCTTGTTATTGATTTCCATGTTGAAGATACACACACACATGCTCTTGAAAGCCAAGAAGTCTTTATCCTGGGTCCCAGAAAGAACATTGGGGTAGTGGCTAAGAGCAGGCTTTTCTGGGCATAGTGGTACACACTTATAATCCTAGCACTTGGGGGATGCAGGAAGGTCCTGAGTTCAAGACCCAACTGGACTATACAGTAATACCTTGTCTTTAAAAAAAAAAGAGGCAGAAGGGGTTTCAGAGGAGGCTCAGTAGTCAGGAGATCTTGCTGTGGAAGGGACTGAGTTGAGATCCCAGCACCCAGGGAGCAAGGCAGTCATGACCTTGAGTGTACTTTAACTCCAGAGATAGAAGGGCTTGCTGGCTGCCTGCTTAGGGGGAAAATGTGAGCTCGACATTCAGGGAGAGACGCTGCTTGAGAGGAATAGGATGCGGGATGATAGGAAGGGACAATGCCCTCTTACATGCCATACACATGCATACATGCAAGCATGCTTGTGCGCGCTCTCTCTCACACACACACACATGCATGCATGGTACTCTCTCTCTCTCTCTCTCTCTCTCTCTCTCACACACACACACACACAAATCACATACATGCAAGCATGCTTGTGTTCATTCTCCCTCTGTCTCTTGTCTCTCTCTCACACACACACACATGCATGCATGGTACTCTCTCTCTCTCTCTCTCTCTCACACACACACACACACACACACACACACACACACACACTTACACTTCCAAACTCAACAGACCTGGGTTTGAGTCTAGCACCAATACCCAGTATGGCCAGCCACCAATTTGCACAGTGGTTTTGCTGGGGGGGGCACATACAGCTCACAGGAGCCCTGCCAAGTCAGACAGCACTGTGCCCAGCCAGCACCCACTGTCTTGGCTCCATCACTGTTGCTCACTGTTCTCACCCCTGGTCATGCCTGCCCTTCCTTGCTGGCCATTCTCTCTCTGGGAGGCAGTGGGTGGAAATGGCCTCACTCCCCACTCCCCCCTCCCCAGCATGGAACAGAGCAGTTGGCCTGGTAGGTGACGCCAGCTGCGTACCAAGCTGCTTCCTAAAGGCAGGATGTTTGCTTGACCAAAAGCAAAGGAGCAGCCTGGAAATCTAATCAAGTCCTGGCCACACGTCAAAGGAAGCGGAAGCCTTTATTAGTGCTGTTAATGGGAACGCAACGAGAGAAAGTGAGCAGTCCTGAGGGCCGCCCCACAGAACGAGAGATCCGGGGAGGTGCACACACAAAACCACCCCTCAGAAGGCCCACAGTTGTGGTTCTGTCACCTTGTCACCTGGTGGCAGCTCTAATTTCACTGTCGCCTGGTGACAGCAACCCAGACACTAGCCCTTACTTAGTGGACACTGCACTTTCTAGGAATTTGCTCGGATTTCTTGGGAGTTTGATTATCATGAGAGAGGTCTGACCTGCAGACCCAGTCAGATGTCTGTTTTGGATAGTGCCGATGCCACTAAAGTTTGAGAATTCCCCAGCCATCTGTCTGTGAATACACTGAGTGTCTGCGTCACTTCCAGTTGTGGAGCCTGGCCACTCTGCAGTTGACATTCTGAGGGCAACAGCCCTTGCCTTAGGGTCACCTACTCAGCCCAGGTTTCATGGGTCCACAGCTGAGAGACGGCCACAGCTCGAGCCCCTCTTCCTCGGCCTGTAGGATACCTAAGTAAAGAGTTAGATCAGGTGGCAGAGGGCGAGCATGGGTGCCAAGGGCAGTGCTGTTGGACCCCTAATCCCTGAAACCCAAAAGTTTACTCTTGGATGTCCCCTTAAGGTCCATAAATCATAAGGTGACTAACATCCTAATGCTAGCTAGCTAACAGACTTCCCATCTACCGGAAGAGGGAGCCTGCCGGCTCTTGTGAGGAGGACCTCATGGGTAGTTTATCCCAATCTCTCAGATCAGCCTTTGGCAAACCCTGACTTGGTCCTCTATGCGGATGGAGTTCTTGTCAGAGGGGATCCAACGTGCGGGATATGCAATAGTCACTAGCTTCCGTGCCTGAATCAAGACCAACACCTAGAAACTGAAGTGCTCAGTTAGCAGAGGGTTAGCTCTCACTCAGGCTCTAGAACAGCCCCAAAGAAACAGTTAATATTTACACAGACTCCAAATATGCCTTCCTTGTCCTCCATGCCCATGACACTATTTGGAAGCAAAGAGGCCTCTCTTTGCTTCCAAAGCTGGAACCTGACCCCTGTAAAACATTCCCAGGAAATTCTCCAGCTTCTGGATGTGGTCCGTTTACCCACCCAAGTGGCTGTGATCCACTGTCCTGAGCATCAGGGAGGGGATGGCCCAATACAAAGGGAGGTTGGACGGCTGACTCTGAGACCAAGAGAGCTGCACCGGGACATCTAAAAAGCCTCACCTCCGGGGAGGGTCTGTGCTGTCTCTCAAGAGACCTGAATATCCTTCGGAGAAAATAGCCTTTGCCTCTATGACAAGGTGACATCTAGACCCCAGAGGGAGGTGGTGGTTAACATCCAAAGGACCAACTGTTCTTGCCATCGGCCCTACGAAAGGAAGTCTTGGAGTCCCTACATCAGGTCTATCACCCAGAACAGTGAGACAATCCAGCAGGCAGTACAAGGTGTGCAATGTGTCAGGAAAGCAAACCCTTCAACAGATGATTGTAGCCTCTGGTACCCAGAGACAGAGCACTCACCCTGGGAAAGGCTGGCAAGTACACTCCTTCCTGCCCAGTGCGCCTAACTCCAAACATCTCCCAGCCTTGCTAGACACTGTCAACGTCCCATATGAAACAGAAAAGGCCATGGAGGTAATTATGGTGGTATTTTCTGAAATAATTCCCAGGCTTAGCCTACCTAAGAGCCTTCAGTGGTCTGCATTTAAGACAGATGTAACTCAAGATCTAGCCAAAGTCTTGGGAATTCCATACGACCCCCACCCACACAGTGGAATCCCAAGACACCACCACACACACACCCCGTCTCTCTTAGGATACTTACTGAACTGGCAGGCAAGAATCGGGGGACCTTAGATCGAAAACAAGAAGTAATGGAACCTGCTGAGGGGGGTTTCAAGTTATATTCACCTGGTCCAGGGCCTTCATGCTGAAAAACAGAGAGAGAGAGAGAGAGAGAGAGAGAGAGAGAGAGAGAGAGAGAGAGAGAGAGAGAGAGAGAGAGAGAGAGAGAGAGTTCATTTCACTAATTAATGTTTGGGCATTGTTTGCCTTCTACAAGTAAACACGTGCTAGAAAGTTCCCAGATTGGGGCCTGCAGGATCTTATATGGGTGTGACCTAAAAGTAAAAGAAACTAAGTAGTACCCATGCTCTCTGCCTTAGCTGCCCCAGTATAACCATGAGAGGAGGGGAAGAGACTGAGTAGCCTGGGCATGTGTGTCCTAGTTAGGGTTTCTACTGCTGCAATGAAACACCATGACCCAAAGCAAGTTGGGGAGGAAAGGGCTTGTTCGGCTCACACTTCTAAATCACTGTTCGTCACTGAAGGAAGTCAGGACAGGAACTCAAACAGGGCAGGAGCCCGGAGGCAGGAGCTGATGCAGAGGCCATGTTGGGGTGCTGCTTACTGGCTTGTTTCCCCTGGTTTGCTCAGCCTGCTTTCGTATAGAACCCAGGACCACCACCCAGGGATGACACCACTCACAATGGGCTGGGCCCGCCCCATCAATCACTAATTAAGAAAATGCCCCACAGTTGGAGGCATTGTCTCAGCTGAGGCTCCCTGCTTTCAGATGACTCTAGCTTGTGTGGAACTAAACTAGCCAGTACAGCTGTTTCTCCTTCTCCATGCTGCAGGCTCCTGCCTTACACTCGGTTCCCCTTGTATCCACACCCCTCCAGCCAGCCAGCCGTGCTGTCAGCCTGCGTGTTAGTCGTGAATTGCTGATCTGATGCTGGCCTTAGGAAGCATTCTGACTTTCCTATGCAGGTGATTATCTGCTATTTCGAGTCTGAAAAAGTACTCCCAGCAATTCACTGGTGCAAGCACAATGCTGTTGGGGAAACATAAATGGCAATTTAAAAAACAGCAAACACTCAAAAGAAAAACGGACAGGAGACAGTTCACGAAGGGGGAAATGCAAATATTCAATGAGAAAATGCATTCATAACTGACTAACTTCCAACTGAAACAGATCAAGGTGACATTCTTCCCAAATAAAAAAGAAGGGTTGGTGCTGGTTGTCTTAGTTAGGGTTTCCACTCTGACCATGGCAACTCTTACAAAAGAAAGCATTGAATTGCCGCCGGCTTACAGTTTCTGAGGCTCAGCCCATTATCATCATGGTGGCACTCAGACAGACGAGGTGTAGGAGCTGACAGTCCTCACATCTTGACGCAGAGGCAACAGGGAGTTGACTGACTATCATTCTGAGTGAAGCTTGAGAAGTTCAAAGCCTGCCCCCACAGTGACACACTTCCTCCAACAAGGCCACACCTACTCAACAAGGCCACACCTACTCAACAAGGCCACACCCACTCCAACAAGGCCACACCTACTCAACAAGGCCACACCTACTCAACAAGGCCATACCTACTCAACAAGGCCACACCTACTCAACAAGGCCACACCCACTCCAACAAGGCCACACCTACTCCAACAAGGCCACACCTACTCAACAAGGCCACACCTACTCAACAAGGCCACACCTACTCAACAAGGCCACCCCTACTCAACAAGGCCACACCTACTCAACAAGGCCACACCTACTCAACAAGGCCACCCCCACTCAACAAGGCCACACCTTCTAATAGCGTCGCTCCTTCCGAGAGACATTTTTTTCCAATTCACCACAGTGGCGGTCAAGGACAGAAAGCACATACATAGCTTGTGTTCTGCTAAAAAAAAAAAAAAGGAATTGAAAAGGAGAGAGGTCGGGTGTAGAGAAGCCAGGAGGGGAGGAAGAAAATGATGTAAAGATTAGCAAGCATGGCAGAAGAAGGATTTGATCAAAGTTTCTGCAGGGGGCTGGCAAGACCCGAAACGGCTTTAAAAGGCACACACCAGCTCGGAGGTGGGGGAGAAAGAGGGACAGAGAGGTAGCCGAGGTGTGGGTGCAGGAAACTCTCTCCCGTGCCTGTCGCTAGGGTGGATGGAGCAGGATAAGAACCAGAAGTGATTCTTTCTGGCAGACTGTCTTGGCTCTGCTCCTAAAACAAATGAAGGATGTGTTGGAGATGGGAGAGAGGGCGGGGAAATGCCCAGGAGGAGCAAACCGTAGTTGAGTGGGCAGAAGAGGATCCTCTGTAATACTCGGCCTCACGCGTCCAGGTATGGGTGCTGTTGGGGTCTGGCTTTTTGTGGTGCTGGGGATCAAACCCTGGGCCTTGTGAGACTAGGTGAGCGTCCTGCCACAGACCTGTACTGTACCGTATGCTGTGTTTTCACAGTGTAAGGTCAAAACAGTAAGAGGGCTGGAGGGATGGCTCAATGGTTAATGAATCCCGCGAAGAGAAGAGGGAGGAGGGGGAGAAGAGAGTAAAACAGTAAGGGGGGTTGCTACTGATGGTGCAGATGACCCAGGTTGGGTTCCCAGCATCAACACAGGGGCTAAGAACTGCCTGTAATTCCAGTCCCAGAGGATCTGACACCCTCTCAGATACATACACGTATACACACAACTTTCAAAAGATAAAAATAAATCTTTTAGAAAATGTGTATTCCTTTGACCTAACCATTCCACACTTAGGCATTCATCCTGATGAAGAATGTGAATTGCATAAATACCTAGCAACAGTGACATTGCTTCTAAAAGCAAAATTTAGAGATAAACTAAGAGACCCGTGATGGGTTCCTGGTTAAGTAATTTGACTCAGTGTTGTTACGGCTATAAAATAGCTTTTTGTTTGTTTTGCTTTTCAAGACAGGATCTATGCTTATTTCAAACTCATAACCCTCTGCTGGCCTCTGAGTATTGAGCGTGGGCTATCCAGTGTGTAAGTTTTCAAGTTCCGGGGAGAGGTGCGCCATTCTTGGAATCACTGAGATGACAGGCCAAACTTTGGGGTGGGCCAAACCGGCTTCTACTTCATCCCCCAGCTCCAAGAGCCTATTTACTATATTATCTGCAGGTAGAGGATGTATTAGATATTAAACAGATGATATTCTTGATCTTAGCTGGAAGGTTTTTCAAGACAGGGTTTTACTGCTTAGCCCTGGCTATCCTGGAACTCACTCCATAGACCAGGCTGGTCTCCAACTCACAGAGATCTGCCTGCCTCTGCAGGGATCCAAGGTGTGCTGGGATCAAAGGCATGCGCCACTGCCCCGGTAATGATCTATGTATTCTAATTTTCCTACAATGAACAAAAACACTCCAAGTATGATATAAATAAGCGAATATGGAAATCATGCAAAGGGGAGGAAGGACAAAGTCAGACCAGAGCACAGATCTGCCCGGGCATAAAGCCTGCCGTTAAGTAGGACTCTTGCAAGTGGGCCCCAGGGAAATTTGCAGAACAAGTGCTTGGACCACAGATCCTGGAGGGATTTACGAGCAAGGCTCCCGTGCAGCTGGTGGGTGCAACAGTCATGCAATCGTCCTGCCCCGAGAGCGGCCTGTGACTAATAGCTGGGTACAAGTCTGATCACCAAGGGACAGGTGATGGAAGCCGTCCTTTTAATAAATGTATCATTTTAATAAATCACAGCCGAGATGGAAGTGCTAATGTTTTTTGTTTGTTTGTTTTTTACTTATTTATTTTTTTTGGGACAGGGTTTCTCTGTAGCTTTGGAGGTTGTCCTGGAACTAGTAGCTCTTGTAGACCAGGCTGGCCTTGAACTCACAGAGATCCACCTGCCTCTGGCTCCGGAGTACTGGGATTAAAGGTGTGCGCCACCAACACCCTGTTTGAAGGCGCTAATGTTTCAAAATGATGTACACAAGTGACAGAGGTCATCTTTGGGGAGAAGATCTCTACATGGTGTCAACTGTACCTGAACCTGCATCGAGGGACCTTGGACAAAGAAGTAAAAGCCATGAGAATTGGTCAGAGGCCGTTTCTTCAGCCTTGTCTTTTTCTGGCTGTGACTGGAGACTTTCAAGCCAGGTGAGTAGCCGGTCAAAGATGATGCCCAGAGTGGCGTCCACTGCGCACCTAGGACCCCGCCTTTACCGTGAACTGTAATGCTGCATCCTGCCCATTTTCCCCTACGCCTAAGTGATGTTCTTTCTGAGTTGCCAAGTCAGGAATGCCTTGGGAGTCTGAGTGACAACCTGTTCCTGATGCCATCCTGCAGCCGCCCTGCATGGGCGGCCTTCTGAATCGCAGGGCATGAAATGGGAAGAAAGGACTGCCACATGGGACAGACGGAATCTTCCAGTCTGTCTGTCAGGGAAGGGGATGGAGTCCCCAAGGCGTATTCCAAAGCCAGAGGAATGCCATGGAAAGCCATAGCTGTGGCAGGGGAGATGGGTCCTGCAGCAGAGTCCCCTGACCAGCCCCCTCCCCCAAGGACAGCACAGCTGGACAGGTGGCTGGAGGCGGGCCAGTTCTCCGCCTAGTTCAGAGAGGAGGCTGTTAAAGCGACCCACAGTCCAAAGCTGAGGCTCCTACACCTTCTACACAAAAGACTGCCAGATCACTGTGTCGTAGGAGGTAGCCTGGAGCCTTGGCTCCCCTGGTGTGTCACATGGTCAGGAAGGGAGATGTGTGGTCAGTCAGCCCCTCTCAAATGGTCAAAAGAAGTGGTCCCTAAGCCTTGCTTTCATTAGGGCTGCGATTTGGTATCTCTGCGTTTCCCAAAGCTGATGATTGCAGCGAGATCGTAGTCAGGGTCGCTATTGCTGTGATGAGACACCATGACCAAGCAACTAAAGGGTTTATTTGGTTTATACTTCTACATCAGAGTTTACCACCAAAGGAAGTCAGGACAGGAGCTCAAGCAGGGCAGGAACCTGGAGGCAGGAGCTGATGCAGAGGCCATGGAGGGTGCTGCTTACTGTCCTGTACCCCGTGGCTTGCTCAGCCTGCTTTCTTATAGAACCCAGGGCCACCAGCCCAGGGATGACCCCACCCACCATGGGCTGGGCCCTCCCCAGTCAATCACTAATTAAGAGAATGCCTCACAGCTGATCTTGTGGAGGAA